TTTAACAAATTAGTGCAAAAATGCAATTTTTTCGAATTTTCGCTTACCACTAAAAATATATTACCATTATCTATTAGGGATAGAAGAAAAACCCCTCAGATTGGCATATTCTAATTTTTTTTAATTAATTTGTTACTCCAAAAACAGCAAAATAAGACAAAATCATTTATTAACTTTTGTAGAAATTAACTTTCACTTTTGTGATTACTCTCATAGTTCTGATTACCTGTAGTGCTTACTAAGCCCTCAAAATTTCAGCTCAGTTCATCAATTAGTTTTAAAGCTTTTATTAATAGTAGGATCATATGTTATAGGTTCTTATTTTGTTGATAGTAATCTTAATGGATAAGATTCGCGTGATTCTGAGGTCTATGGTGCGCCAGATGTGTGTCTTTCTGAGAAACAGAATTCCAAACGAAAAAATACGTCGTAGAACAAAAAGAACAGACGCTATCGAAAAAATTGCGTCGCTTAAATGGAATTTGTCAGTCTACATCGCCAGATTATCAGACAACCGTTGGACAAAATGTATGTGGAGACCAAGACAGGAAGTATTACGGAGCAGAGAACGCCCACCAACCAATTGGAATGACAATCTGAAGAGTGTTAACAGTAACTGGATGCAAGCCGCACAAGACAAAGCCTGATGGAAAGAGCTGAGGGAGACCAGTGTCCAGCAGTGGACGAAAACAGGTTTATTATGATGAATCTTAATGGCAGAAAGTTTTTGCGCAGGAAATTGATGATGTACCTGTAAATATTAGGCAGAAAATGTGAATACAGGTGGATGAAGCCCAGCACATTTTCAACTTCGCCTGCGGCAAGTAGAAGTGGTGGTCCACATAAATGTCCTCCAAGATCTCTGAGTTTGACGCCGATAGACTTTTTTTCTGGAGATGCCTACAAAGTATAGTGTATAACAACCCATATCGTTTACTCCAGAAGATACTACAGTCTGTTTTACCTCTTGAAAAACCAAAAACGCACAAATAAATTCAAATTTTTTAAATGCCTTTCAGAATAATTATATAATAATCTATTAAATGTAATTATATAATAATATATTATATAATAATCTTTCACATACCAAATTAAACTAAAATAATAAAACACCCGGTGTGATAAAATGATAAAAATTTAAATTTTATCGATGACTTATGCCTGGTTGCACCAATATATCTTAAGCTTAAGACGAGCCTTAAGCTCAGCTTACGAAACATACGCGTTGCACCATTGAGTCATATAAGACTCTTTTCGTCACTCAATCATTGACAAGTTACGACGTGCTTAGATAAGAATCGAAAATTATGGTGCAACGTAAATGAGAGTTAAGGTGGCCCTAGCTATAAGCGGAGTTGGGCTAAGCTGGAGCTTAAGATCTGTTGGTGCAACCAGGCATTAGTGTCTTGGCTAGGTAAGTCGCCGTGGTTTGTTGATGTATTGTCCATAACTAAGACATCTTCTTAGGGTTCCTGTCCTTTCCGAACGTTTAACGATCATTCTGGCTATGATGACTTTGTTGGTTGCTATACGGAATAGCTGTGTGGAGGTCTTTCTATTTTATGTCCTCAGGTTACCAAGCCAAGATATACTTCTTCGTCCTGGGGCCCTTTTTCCTTCAATTTTACCTTGCAAAATGCATTGGACTAGCTCATATTTGCCATTATATGTCCCAAGTACTGCAACTTACGGCCCTTCACGATGTTGACCAAATCCGCAGTTGTGTTCATCCTCTGTAGTACTCCTTCATTGGTGAATTTGTGTGTCCATGGCATCTTCAGTATCCTTCTCTATAACCATAGCTCAAAATCCTGAAGTTTTGATAGAGTTTCCGCCTTCAATGTCCACGTTTCTACTCCGTACAGAAGCACTGAGTACAAGTAACATTTAAGGAGCCTTATTTTTGTTTCTAGAGTGAGCTCATGGCCCTAAGACACAGAGCCCATAGTCAAGAATGCCCTTTTTGCCTTTCCGATGCGACATTTAATCTCTTGGGCGTTGTCCCACGACTCATTGATTATAGTTCCGAAGTAGTTGTACTGTGAGACACGTTTAATTCTCATTTGGTTCGCATACAGATTTGCTCCAGTTATGTTTTCCTTGCTGATGATCACTAGCTTAGTCTTGCTGGTGTTTATATCGAGTCCATATGTTCTACTTGTTTCCGTTATTTTGTTAATTAAGTTTTGCAGCCCTTCTATGGTATTGGAAAACACTTTTGTATCATCTGCATACCGCAGGTTATTGAGCTTAACTCCATTTATTGAGATGCCTTCATCAATATCTTTTAGAGACTCTTCATAAATGTGCTCAGAGTACAGATTGAATATCAGTGATGAAATTATGCACCCCTGTGTCACCCGCCTTAAGGATTTTGGCCTGATCAGTATATTCTTTATCTATTCGGAGCACCGTTGATTGATTCCTATACAGGTTAGTTATTATTTTTAGGTCTCTTCTGTCCATTCCTGTCGCATTCATCACTTCCATCATTTTTCATGCCTGATTCGATGGAAAGCCTTCTTCGAGTCAATGAGGCATGCAAAACATCACAGCTCACATCTCTACATTTCTGAAACAATACCTTCACGCTAAATAAAGCTTCCCTCGTACCAACTGCATTCACAAATCCAAACTGATTGGGCGCAACTTGTTCCTCGCATTTCCGTTAAATTCTTTTGTGGATGACTTTTAAAAACAGCTTCAGCAGATGGCTCATTAGGTTTATGGTCCTATAGTCCACAAAATTTTGCTTCTGGTCTTTTGGGCAATGGTACGATCTCCGATTTGAGCCACTTTACTGGTATTTTTCCTGCCTTGTATATTTCATTAAATATTTCAATTATTATTTTTATTTGTTCCGCATCTAACAGATTCAGCAGTTCTGCAGGAATTTTATCAAGTCCCGGTGCCTTTCCATCCTTTATTTTTCTGACGCCTGCTGTTATTTCTTCTGGTAGGATTTCTAGACCTGAATTTTTTTTAATGGTGGATTCTTGTATTGTTCTAAGGTCTTGGAAAAGTATCTCCAAGTATTCTTCTCATACTTTATTTTTATCTTCTTTGGTTATGGCAAGATAGCCTTTATCATCTGTTATTTTTCGCTGTTTTGTTTACACTACAACAATTAAGCCATATTTGATAATCATTATTTGTAAAGCTTAAAAATATAATATTTTGATCACTCAAGATCTATATATTTTAATATTACAAATAGGAAATCTTCTATTAAGGACCAAAATCAAATTTCTTCCCGATTTTTGGATTCGTAGATATTTCATTATTTATAAAAAAATTAATTTTTAGAACAATCGAAATAAAACACCCGGTATTATTGTCACATCGGGGTAAATGGAAAGGGTCTAAATCACCTTCTGTACCACCGTGTGCTCTGTAGAGGGCTTCAGAAACATCGTGAGGTCCTCTACTTGAATCCATTTTCAGGTTATGGATTTCAAACTGTTTTGTCTCCTGATGGCTCGTCTTGAGAAAGACGAGATATTTTCTTACATGACAATACGTCGAAAATAATACATCAGGTTGTAGTCTTCGGTGGTTTACCTTGACAAAGGCAAGATATTTCTTACATGACAAAGATATTAAGGTTGTCGAAATAAAATCACCAAATATTCAGTTGAATAATAATACTTAGCCACAGAGTATGGGAAAATCTAAAAAGAAAGCAGAGCCCCACGAAATATTTCGTCGAAAACAATATTTTTTGTTACAATGTCTCCATTTTCTGAAAACTTTTGCTTGGCACCGGGAGTTATGTAAACTTTTACTTTTTAATAAAAACGAAACCGGAAGTCGACCTCAAAACCGGAATGCAATTTTTAGTTCATCAAATGTCGACATGGATATCATTTAGCAGTTAATTTTGCATGCTGATCACGAATCCGGTGTCAGATTTGCTCTATCTTGACGTTTTATGCGCGTTTCAAGTCACTTCCGGTGTCGGATCGCATCCGAAGTACATATTTAGATTCGTCTCGACGAGACCTTTCGATCCATATATACATTGTGGGGTCTAAAACTTAAAGTAAATTTTAACTTCATGAAGTGAATTTTTGTACCAGATGTATATCTTGAGAATCTTATACGTAATACTAATAATATTCCGAAAAAATATTTTAATTATCTAATATGGTTTTTGAGTAAAGTGGTGGACAAGAAAAGGGCTTAGCGTTTTAGTATATAAGATAAAAGGGTTCTACACTTTTACAACACTTACAAGTTTATTAAAGTCTTTATTAATTTATATATACAATATTCACTAATTTATTTGACACTATTTATTTCCCGCGTTACAATTTAAATTTGATACAATTATCTTTTCTTCGACTGACCTGTTTTCAAATAAAAATGTCTATATATATTAAACAACCGCTATTCAGGAATTCCGGCGACCCCTTCCGAATAGACAAGAAGGTCACGCCGGACAGGTTTTTAGCTGAAGCTTGTCTAGAATTTCTGCCGGACTCGATCGGAACGTTGGTGTATGCTCTGGAAAATACTTGAATGGAATAGAATTGGAAATAATATGTTTACAGTTTTATGAGTCATTATTTATCGTAACACTATAAAGAAGAAAACTTTAATACTAAGTCGTTTTTACTTACAGAAACCGAGGCGTATAGGGTAAGCCACCCTGTAAATGAACGGAAAAAGTCGTCAAATACCTGGCTAATGCGAATTCCTGAGAAATACTTATGTTCCTGGATTACATAATTTAAAAGTTCATTAATTTAATAATTGCTTAATTGTTTAATTTGTTTTTCTAGCGTGGTTTTGGAAAGGTTAATTATAATTAATTTAATTTATAATAATGTAATTGCAAAGTTAATTAAGTTGGTGAGATAATTTTGTGCAAGAGATATTTAGGCCTTAAAAACCAATCATAGGAACTAATATTTAAATAGAGCGTGGAATATAACATATTACGAAACAAAAACCGATTAAACATTGCATAATTGTCTAATATTCCTTTTTTGTTTTAGATGAAAACCAGGTCAGTAACCGCCTGGCGCCATACCGCTGACCACACAGGAGAGCTGTCAGTTTACTGTTGGTGAGATCAGCTTAAGGGGCGAACTCCATCGCCCTCCGACTTAAGTAAAATCCCCATGGAGGGCTGCAGTTCGTCATCCTCATCATGGCCTGATAATCCTTCATAGTCTACAAATTAACTCTAACCGAAACTAAAACTACTAAAGAATTGCTGCATAGAAGCACTGAATTGGTACACGTGGTTTTTGGACCGATGGTTTTGGATTTGGGTAGTTGACATAGACTGGAATACTTCAAATGGAATAGACATGCGTTGAAGATCTTACGTCGAAAGCATTTCGCAAACTATATAGTTTTGTAATTTTATATGGACTCATTAATTGCAATAAATATTTTCCACTAAAATTTGAAGGCAGAATACAGGAATGGTACTAAAACGGGTACAACTCTCAAGATTTCGTAAATAACTCAACAAGATGTTCCTAAATACTCGGCTAGAAATCAAGTGAATATACACTGAATATAGTTTGAACCAAATAGTAATGCCCGGTTTCACAAACTAGTGTTAATTGCACACTTAATAATGCACAGTTAACTGTGACAGCTATTATTGAACATCAACTATATTATATGACCAATAAAGCATTTAAGCTTTTAAGACCATTAAAGCATTTGTGTTTATATAGGGTGTAACAAAAATTGTGACATGCCAAAATTACTTTTAATTATGGTACATTTTTGGCTTTTACATAAAAATGAAGTGAGTTTTCATAAAGGTTCTTTATATTCATTTATTTAAATCAGTCAGTGAGACCTTGCCTTTTGTGTCTAGGCATTGCTAAAGATGCTTTACACAAATTTTCGTGCTGCATCTCTATATTGTCTATCATTTCCAGGTCTATAAACTGTGGTTAACAAACATAATTTACTATATGCTTCTTTGCGAGATATATCTCGTGTATTTCTTGGATTGATAATCCTGTAAATGGTGCGTGTATTGTAAATTTAACTATAAGTAATAATTGTCACAGTTGACTGTCTATTAGTCGATTGAGGAATTAACTGATGCTTGTAAAACCGTCTTTAGGACTTCTCTTTTGGAAAGTCAGATGTTTATTCAATTTTAAACTTTAATTGTAAAATAGGGGGCTATAAAATAAATACATCAAATAATAATGTGAACATAACGGATAAATATAAACAAGTTTCTGTATAAAGACCAAAAATTCGCCTACGATCGATTCTTTTAGGATTGAATTATATAAAAATTGCAGTACAGTTACTTTTAGTAGTTTCAGGATGATTCACTAAGAAGATATCTGAAATTGCCCATCTTTGTAGGCGGCTTATGGCTTTACAAATGAATAAAATAAAATGTTTTCAAGAAAACGTTCTTCCATGTATTAAAAAATGTTTTATCCTATAAAACAACACCGCGGGAACCGGCGAATATAATTAACCATTCTGCAGGAAGGCGATAACACTCATAAGAGTAGGATACTGTCACAAATTTATGCTACTGATAACTGAGGTGGGGGATTCTGAACAAAATATGGAGCTGGATCCAAAGATAACAATTTAAAAAGCTGTTAAAAAAGATTTAAAAATACAGCGAAAGACAAGAAAATTAAATATAAAATTAAGCAAAACTTACAGAAAACCCACAAAACGAAATTTTTTGGAAGCAAAAGGCAAAAAAATCACACAGAAAAATAAGCTATCCTACAGACAGGCGATAAAGGTAGAAATACTGCCCCAAAATTATCCAGATACTCTTTTAATGAAACACTTAGTAACTATAAAAGAGAATCTTTTGGAGCTCAATTAATAGATCAGTTAAGAACCCAATAAAAAATGAAGTTCAAAAGTTAAGCATTTAAAGCAAAATAAAATATAAAATGGGTTGAACATGGCGCAAAAAACATCGGGAGAACAGAATGCATCCTACGCATAGGCTGGTAACTGTGATAAGGATAGGAAGACTGTTCCAAAAATCGAAGAAATATATAGCAGGAAGAAGAGTGGATAATTAACAAACTGTAAAAAAAGATGGAAAAGGATATGGAAATAAAATATAATGACGGTATTAGATTTTTATTTCGATGCAAGGCAACGGCAAGCCGCTTATACGTATTTCAACCACTTTAGGTGTCATCAGAGCAGCATAAGTTACTGCTCTGAATCGAAACAAAATCTATCCCGTCGTAGGACAATAATTATCGAAATAATTATTTACAGACGTAACAGCGCTATCTAATAACAACAAGAGAAATCATAAGACTTCCTATCTGCCGAAGCTGAATTCAAATCTTTACCACTGCCATCATTTTTAAGGCTGACATTGAAACCTTTGGAAGATAAAAACATTTAAAACTTACCGCAGAAATGCGAGTTTGGCCACAAAAACTGTAAACTTTTTACTTGACGTCAGCTGCCATCGCAACAACAAACTAAGAATTGAAAGAAATCGGGACGTTAGGTTGTTTTATACCCTATTGCCCTACTAATTAGAACTGAATGGTAATGAAAACATTCTTAGTAGATAAGTGAGCCTGTGAAATCGTAGGCTTCCACTGCCAGAGTCAGAATTATAGTTTATTCGTCTTCCGGGTTTGGACCGTGTCATTTGTGAGTCACCCAAAAGTGGGTTCATCTCGACGTTTCGCTACAATTGTATGTAGCTTCTTCAGGAGAACAAAGAAAAAGAAATCAAAAGACAGGAAGATGGGTAGTTACCAACGGTAACTCAGTTACTCAACGCAACCAGAGGCGAATACTAACTACCAAGATGGGAATTTGGTCACAGTAACTCAACTACTTAACGCAGCCAGAGGTGAAAACCAAATGCCAGGACAGGGATTCACGTCCAATAGCTCAGAACACTAACGCGTCGACAGGCGGGGAGTGAATCCGACGATTATTCCGCTACCGCTCTATTTATAGTCGCGGTGACCTGTCGTGTCGGGACGTATTGGCACACTCCGTGGCGCGAACGTCAAGAAGCGCGCGCTGGCCAATCATGTGACTTCATCGTGGTAGCGGGACCAGACGGCGGCTCTAGACTGAGATTCCAGATGGGAGACAAGTAGTATCCTTCCTCTCGATTGATATTATGTGGATTTTTTCGGATCTCTAGAGATTCGCGGATTTTCCTGGAATAAAAGAAGGGGCTCTTAGAAATAATATGGGTTTTTTCGAACAATATGGAATGACCGGTTTCTTGGCAGTGTTCTGCAACTGCAGAATGGGAGAAAAGACCTGATCGAATGCATCTTTGATGCTCTTGAATCCGAGTTTTGACGGAACGACCAGTTTCGCCAATATACACATGTCCACATGAACAAGGAATAGAATAGACACCACAGGAAGATAGGGGCGGTAATGGGTCCTTAGGAGAGGGTAGATATTGTGAGATTTTCTTGGGTGGTCGAAAAGTAGTCCTGATACCTTCTTTGCGAAGAATTTTGCCAATCCTATCAGTGACACTTCGAATATACGGAAGAAAAGCCACAGGAGTATTACCCGAAGATTCTGAATTTGTCGTCCTAGGGTGTAAAGGGGGATGTAGATGTCGGTGTGTAATATTTTGAATTGTGGACTTGGAGTAACCGTTAGCGACAAGGGTTTTTTGCAGTATAGTAGTACAGTACAGTAAGTGAGCCTGTGTTTATAATACACAACGGATTTCCGCTTAGTCTATAAGACATAGACGGGATTAAATTACATCTGGGAAACTCGAAATATGCCGAAGTCATGGGTCATAAAAACTGTCTACGAGACACAGGTACAGCACAGTTAACATTTTAAGAGCAGATTACTATAGAATTGAAACGCTGGAAAGAAACCAATAAAAAATAGTTCAAAAGTAAAGCATAGAAAGCAAAATAAAATATAAAATGAGTTAAAAGTGGCGAAAAAATATTCAGGAAGCAGAAGCCATCTTATGGACAGGCGGTAACTGTAATAAAGATAAGAAAGTATGTCCCAAAATTATCCAGAGATTTTTCTTCCAGTAGAACACTTGGTATCCATAATAGAGAATATTCAGTGGTGTAAAAAATGGGTTCTAAAATGGGAAGATGCATTAGGTGTAATAGATCCCACACCACTCTAAATTTCAACTTGTCAGGAAGAATAGTCGGTAAATCATAAAACATATAAAAAAAGAATATACATCAGGAAGAAGAGTGGATAAAGTACATGCAGAAAGTGTATAAAAAGATGGAAAAGCATATAGAAATCATTTAGCAAAGCACATATAACATGGAGCTATCTCGTTGGTTTAATGTACTGGCAGAATAACTTCGAAATGAGTAGTGTCCAAAGTTCGTAGATCGAACTACATGCTAGCCAAATAACAAAATATTTCAAACTCCTGCGGATCTGAATTGGAATTCGCTAGTGAATTGAGTCAGCCAATGGATGACAAGTATGGTGAGAGTAGAATAGATTGCTATTCATTGATTTCTACCCAGAATATATTAGGACGCTATAAAATTGAAACTTACAGCAGGTATGGATGGAGTAATTAGAGAATCAAGCACAAGGTACTTGATTAGACAGACAAGATAACAGAGATATTATGAACTTGTGTGATGGAAATTGAAAAACCCCTTGGTAGAGAATAAATGACTGGATACAAAACGTAAATAGGTGCATGATCTTCATTTCTCTTAAAACAGGCTACAATCCAAAGATTTAACATATAATGCAAATATTCTTCTGTTCAATTATTATTTGCAAATAATGTATGTATTTATAGATGAATAAAATAACTTAAACGCCCTTTCGAAAATTGGTAGAAGAACGACTTAATATTTTTGTACAAAACGAGTATTAAGGATGATAATGTTACTGTGAATGTTTATATATAAAAAGGTAGATCTCGGTGTTTTAAAGTAGATTTAGTTTACACACTTTTTATATCATCAATTTGTTTCTCAGGGGCTTTTGATGGAAGTAAAGTGCACAAAATTTTATTTTTAAACTCTATAAAAAAATTGTAACTCGAAAATTAATTTTTAAAGTACATGAGTTACGGAAAAGTGAAACTAAGTTTAATGCTAACAAATCTTAGTTGCAGCAACAAATCCCATTACATAATAAACTGAACTGAGATGAAAAGCTGATGATTTTGTAGTAAAATATAAGCTTTATGTCAATTATATCAAAAATACTAGAAAAAATTTTATTGGACAATTTGTAAGTACTACTGCAGATAGATAATATAATCTCAACACAGCAATTCGATTTCTGAGCGAATCACTGTCTAATTTAGTACCTTTTTCAGAATTGTTCAGTATTCCTTGACACGTATTATATAAAAATGAATTCCTATTTCTTAAGTCACGTCATAACTTTAACACGACTTTACTGATTTGATTCATCTTTTTTTTTAGTTCTCTAATACTGTGTAGAAGGTTTTTAGGGAAAGAAAATTCAAGAAAATGGTACATAAAATTAAAACATTTAACGATTTTTTAGGTTTCGCGCGTTTAACAGTTTTGCATTTGACAGCACGATTCAAATGTCGTCCTGGGGAGTATGAGTGGTGAGTTTCCCTACCAGTCAAGCGAGGGGTTGGGGGAAAAATTTTTGTTTTTTAAATTCAC